GCAAGCACCAAGCCCAGTTCGGGTGGCAGCCAGGAGGATGCGGAGACAGTGGTAATATGTCCGGGGCCACCTGGGCACAGAGGGTGTCCTTGGGGCAAGGGCTGTGGCACAACCTGTTGCTGGGGACTGGGACGTTGATTCCTGCCTCGCCCCTGTCCCCGATCCTGCCCCTGCGGTGCTGGAGGGGGCTCCCACCACCTGCCCATCCCATTGTTTTGTGCATGCTCGAGCAGGCGGCATGGGGACTGTGGATGACTTGTTCCCTGGGGCTGGCAGTGACGGTGACAGCATGGAGGGGATGCACTTCCCCCACAGACTCAGGGCTGCACCACGCAACCTCTGCCTGGCTGCCAGCCTCATGTGTCCTGCATTTTACATTTTGAAAAGATGGTCACCCTAGCCCTTGCACTGAAGCAGCCTTGGGCTCCAGTCATCCCCATCAGCTTCTACACGTGTGTTGTAGCGCACTTAATAACACTGCCACAGAATAGTACCTGTGTTTACAAGTACTAACCTACGGCAGAGTTAATTAGTTTACTGCGGCCCAGTAGGGCTGCACATGTAGATGCTGGCTTTACTCCTGAGCTAATTAGGCAACTCCACAGTAAACGTCTCCTGTAGGCGCACCAAGTAAGTGGTAAAATACAGAATGACCCAAGCCAGGGAGGGAAACAATGACCCATGACTTAAGGGAAATGTATTAACAGTGAAAGCAACAGGTTATTAAAATAAATTAAGAAGCACAAACATGGAAAGACAAGGATCAGAGAAGGGGAACTGCCCCCCTACAACATTTTATTTAACTTTTGCTCTTCCTTCCCTATTATGTTTATTTTTCCCTTTGTTTCATGAAGTAGCTTTTCGGTCTCTCTTTTCCTTCTGTTTATCTTGTGATTTGTCAATATTTTGGTCTTCACCCGTTTGCCTCTTAATAATTGCAAAGCATTTCGGTTAAATATTTGAACACTGGATTGCAAATTTTAAAATGGTTTGGAAGGCAGGAGGTTGTTTGGTTGATATAGAGATTTTGTGTTTGCATCTGTGAAATTCATTCCTAAGGACCAAAGCCTCTGTGTAGGACTAAGTAGGAACTAAAACTCATTTCTGATCAAATTATGTATTTTGGGAGCAAAACCTGTCAAAAACCTGCAATGTAAAGTCTTTGGTCTGCTGGAGTTTTAGGGCCTTATTACACCTTACACTGTGAGCTGCCCAGATATTGACTATCTTAGTGCTAGCTTGGAGTTTGGAGCGCTCACACCTTCAATTTGAGCTGCACATCTATGGGGAATAGCCACACCTTAATGGAACAGGAGCTGGGTAGTGCGGAGCAAGAGATAATCCTACCCTGGAGTGCCGTAACTTTGAGCTGCATGATGAGTGCTTTAAACCATTTAAAAATGTTAATGTGCGGATAATCCAGGGGTTAAGAGCTCAAGGAGCTGCCCAAAATGACTGTGTATCAAGGCCGTTAGTTAAAAGGGCGTGATGGTTTCATAGGCATGTCGCAGGGGGAGTGGCACTATCTTTTCATAAAATATTCCCCTGTGCTCTTGTCATGCTGGGGTCAGGAGAGGCCCTGGCAATATCAAGGTTCATGTTAATAGTTTTGGTATTAATTAAGAAACTTTTCATCACAGGTCTCAGTGCATAAGAATCTTGAATTGAAGACCCACAGAGAGAGAATGTTGCAACAAAAGATTGAAGGATTACCAGTTAATTTACAAGATTTGCAGGAAGTCAGCCCTGTAGCCACAACTTGCAGAGTTCACTGAGAATGTTTATGTTGCTTTTCAGAGTTTTCTACCCTATAAGCAATTTGGAGCAAGTGCATTACTCGTCTGTGTTTTGTAGACCGCTGTGGGAGATTTGCAGGGCTACAGCGGCTATTTCTGATAACCCCAACTCTGTCTCACATTGTTCGCTTCCCACCTTCCCCTCCTGCATTTCTCGCTTCCATGCTTCAGAAAGAAATGTAACTTTTGCTTTGCTCACAATATGTGTTGTTTTAACTATGTTGCTGAAATAAAAAATAGAATTAAGTCTCATGCAGTGGGGCCTCAGCTGGTTTCCATCAGGGGTCAGGAAGGAGTCCCCTCCCGTTCACAATTGACCAGATAAATTAACGCAGGGAATTGTCCTTCCTTTGAAAGCCAGATATAGGCATGTCACAGGGGGAGTGGCAGGAAAGATAGAGCTGAAGGAAAGGCATCAGCCTAGCTACACCAGTAGTCTGAGGCAGTGGCAGCAAATCCCATGAGCATAGACGCATATGAGTAAAGATCACATGGCTAAGGTGTTAATGGTTGGGATGGAGAAGGGTTTAACTTTTTCCCTATCAGACCCTGAAGATTTTTCATGTTCCTCTGTAGCCTCAAGGAGCTTCATCTGCTGGGATCTGCTTTGCACATAATATGATTTCTACCACTGCCAATGTCTAGGGCACTGGGGGCATCACAGCATTTTCTGTTACTGGTATTTTTCAGCGTACACAATGCATTTTTCCCTCAAAAAGGATCCCTCCAAAAACAATGTGCATCTTGTATACTGTAGACACATAACAAATAATATGTATTATTACAAAACAGCTGACCAAATTCAATCAAGTTTATGTTGAAAACTTCTTAGCACCATGTTATCCCATTTTGGATGTTATACACAGCTATATATTATACACAGGAACTATGGTATCTGACTGTGACTAAGAACAGTTTATCTCCTGAAAGCTCAAAATTTTGAAACATAATTGGCTCTATATTGCATTTTCTACCAACAAAATTTACTGGGAAAGACTGCTGCACATGTGTGTTTTTAGATCATGGTCATTGTCTGGAAACATGTAGATGTAGCTACCGGCAGCAGTGAGCCACAGATTCTGGCCAATTTGGTGGCTGTCCCAGGCTAAACTAAGGACATATGGAGAGGGATTGTTTTAATAAATAGAGCAAGCTGACACTGTGGGGAAATGAGGAACAAGCAGCACTTGAACAGCCTCCTAGAGGGTATTGTAAAGGGCTAGATGTGAATCCTTCCAAGATGCTGCCCAGTTGTCAAAAGGATTGTAACCTGGAAACACTGAGATGCTGACAAAAAAGGAGAAGGGAATGTACAGGGTTGTATGAATAGGACCAGGTGCAGTGATGGGCTAGAGAGGACTGCCCTTTAAATGTAAAAGGGGTATAAAGGGGGAGAAGGGCTGGGTAGGTCAAACATGGACTGCTTATCATTGAATTGCCTGATCCAGAGAGGAAAGAAATTGAAGAAGCATGAAATGGGAACACTGCAGCAAATTCATAGGGTAAAAACCCTTAAACCCATCCTCAAGCGCAACTTTCTCCAGCTGACACACAACATAGTAAATCAAGTGCCATGACTCTAGGGAATGAATGCTGAGAGGTCCATGGATCACAAGGACTAGATCCAAACAGCGTAACTGCTGGCTCTTCCCTGAAGATATTTACTAGACATGTACGTGAAGGCTTCCTGAGCAAAAGTATTATTCAGCTGCAAGGCAGAGAAGGGTGAGATCGGGGGGTGAAGGGTAACCTCCTTTCTGGCATGCTCTGAGGGGATCAGCCTGTATCATTATCAGGAGGCAAAAAACATCTATTTTGTGTAGCATCCAACTACCCTGCTGTCCTGGAATTATTCAGGACTAGGCAGATGGTATTCTAGACCCAAAGAGTATTTCTCAACATGTACCCGGTGCCACAAAGCCTTCAGATGGGAGTACGCCCAGAGCATGAAGTTGGATGACCAAGTACATCAGATCTAAAATGGAAAGAAGTGATTGGGCAGCAAAGAGAATGATGGTACTCAAACAAAACACATCCACCCAGGTGATCATAACACATGTAAGGAATCTCTGAATTATCCTTTGCCTGATGTAGATGATTATTTCAGAAGTACCAGTATATGGGGGCTGCAGATCCTCACCAAAAGATTCAGAAGGACCAAAGATTGTCCTATTTTGTTTCAAGCACACTTGCTAATTTTCGTTCTTTACAGCAGTTGATCCCACAGTGTATTTGCTCCGTGACAGGCTGGAATCTTTGTAGAGACACACCTATTACTCTGAAAAAATTATCATTAGCCTAGAGCAGCAGGGTTCAGAGGAAGCAATTGAGATATCTGTTCTTACAGAACAGTTCAGAATTACTGGAGACAAACCCAAGCACTGAACAGGATGCAGCCAGAATCCAGGCACACTATGGCATTACAAAATGGCTGTACTTTAAAGAAGCCTTACGGAGAGTGTAGGAACTGTCTGTACTTAGTAATTAAAAGTGCCTCGACACAGCAGAATTCTTAGCACGATGCGAGTGCTCGGTGCAAGGGGTTCCTGGCTCTGGGGCCAGTTTTATTTAATATCTTCACAGTGACCTGGAAAATGGGATGGAGTGCACCTGTAGCAAGTTTGCAGATGACACCAAGCTGCAGGGAGTAGTAGATACACTGGAGGGTAGGGCTAGGATTCAGACAGGACCAAAAGAAATCTCATGAGGTTCAACAAGGACAAATGCAAAGTCCTGCACTTAGGATGGAACAATCCCATGCACCAGTACAGGCTGGGGGCTGCCTGGCTGCGCAGCAGCTCTGCAGAAAAGGACCTGGGGATTACAGTGGACAATAACCTGAATATGAACCAACAGCACGCCCTTGTTGCCAAGAAAGCTAACGGCATACTGGGCTGCATTGGTAGGAGTGCTGCCAGTAGATCAAGGGAAGTGATTATTGCGCTCTATTCAGCAGTGGTGAGGCCACATCTGGAGTACTGTGTTCAGTTTTGGGCCCACCACTACAGAAAGGATGTGGACCAATTGAAGAGAGTCCAGTGGAGGGCAACAAAAATGGTGAGAGGGCTGGAGCACATGACTTCTGAGGACAGGCTGAGGGAACTAGGCTTATTTAGTTTGGAGAAGAGAAGACTGAGAGGGGACTTAGTAGCAGCCATCAAGTACCTGCAGGGAGGTTCCAAAGAGGATGGAGCTGGACTGTTCTTAGTGGTGGCAGATGACAGAACAGGGAGCAATGGTCTCAAGTTGCAGCAAGGGAAGTTTAGGTTAGATATTAGGAAAACCTTTCTCACCAGGAGGGTAGTAAAGCACTGGAACAGGTTACCCAGCAATGTGGTGGAATCTCCATCCTTGGAGGCTTTTAAGACCCAGCAAGACAAACTTTATCTGGGATGATCTAGTTGGAGATGGTCCTGCTTTGAGCAGGGGTTGGACTAGATGACCTCCTGATGTCCCTACCAACCCTAATTTTCTATGTTTTCTATGAAAATGTTGTGGGACTTTGACCATTTCTTGTGGTGTTAAATTACCATGGCCACATTTTAGAAAATACACTGTTAACTCATGCATGCATATAATTAATTACCCACATAGTATATATTCTTGACACCAAATGAAAGGAGAGGGAAAAATAAAATACTTCTAAAAAAGTTCACAGTACACCAGGCTCATCTGGAACCAGATACATTGAAAAAAAAACTGACCTGAATGCAAAAATGTGAAATGAGAGATCAACCCCAGACCGGACTGTGTTAAGTATGGTCTGAATAGGATTCTTAACCCATTACCTGGATTAACTTTTTTGACCCCTATATTCCTATGGGTTTATTATTTGTTTGTCTCTTTCAGCACTGGTCCCCCTCCTCTCTCCCTCCCTTCCCTGTCTTCTGTATTCAAAAAGAAGGCAGGACAGATTTGCACCTTACAGACTAACTGAATCAGAGATGCATATGCTTTTGTAAGCAACAGCTTACTTCATCAGATGCTAAGGGACTCTCTTCTTAGCATCTGATGAAGCAAGTTGCTACTCACAAAACTTTATGCATCTCTGATGCAGTTAGCCTATAATGTCCAAATCTACCTTGCTTTCTGCCTGGCTTCACGCTAATATGACTAACTAACTCTCTCTCATATTCAGATCACTCTCCCTGCTTCATTGCTTGCTTTGTGCAGGTCCTTTCACAATATCTGATGAAGTGAGTGCTTGCTCATGAAAGCTTATGCATGTCTATTTTAGTTAGTCTATAAGGTGCATCTCTGCCCTGGCTTCTGAATACAGTGCAAGCCTCTTGTCACTAGCACAAGGACAATTCCTTATGCTCTAACATCTTCCTAATTGATTACCAGTGATCAGCCAATCCAGCAACAAGTCTGATTTCTTCTGAACCAGTGGGATCCGGGATAGTGGATGCTCATTACACAACGACGTCTTCCTTGTCTCATTTGATGGTACTGAGGCACAGAAAAAAAAAAGCAGGGGGAAAAACAAGTGAATTCTTTTGTTATGCAACGCTGTGTTTAAAATATGATTGGAACTGTTTTCAATGGGAGAACACTGGGTTTTAATTTTCAAATTAAAAGATAACAAGTGAAAGAAATTTAACTAAAAATGAATTTTTAAAAAACCACCATCAGGTAGATACAAGGCCAGCTAAATCTTTGCCCAAAGATTGAATGTTTTAGAACAAGTGAAAAGCAGTAGGTTAGACTGTAAACTCCTCTCCTTAGTTTCAGACTATTGCTCCTGACCTCATGCTCCAACTGAAACTATGGACAGTTCCCTTTGCATTACCACCATGTTAATTAGGGCCTGTGATTACATCCTCTCAGACCCTCTATCGGTCTGTCTCACCACATCTGTTCAGACAAAACCCTTTTAAATAGCAAGGCAAGGTTCTTTGAGTAGATTTGATATCTTTTATTAGCCCAACTGAGTAGTTGGAAAAAAGTTCTTAGCAAGCTTTCGGGTGCAATCACCCTTCTTCAGGCATAGGGAGTCTCTGCTGCTCTGAGACTCCAAGGAAAGAGAGAAGCTAAAAGTGTGACAGGATGTCAGTGAGAATGTAAATAGGTAGAAATTAGGAAAACAAAAGGTAAAGCAGAAAAGGGAAAGGGGAAAAAGCAGGAGGAAAAAAAGCTAAAGGTGAGTAAGGGAGACTCCACAGTAGTAATAATT